CTCCCCTTCTGGAGACTGTTAATGGGATTAAAAGAAAAAAAGGGATCAGTTTATTTTATTTATGCACCTGAGAAAACCATTGTTTTTTTTTTTATATGAAGAAATGTAAATATTGAGTGTGAGGATTAAGCTTTTTCCTTCTCTGTATCTGAGGCTAGAAAAGGACACACTCCTAGGAAACCAGGATAAAGGGGAAAATGACTTTGAGATGCACTTTCTTAAAATAACTGAAGGAGTGACCTCATGAGCCAGCGATAGCCTGGGTTTGCAAATGGATACATTTCTATTAGCTTGCTGCTTGATGCTGCAGAGCCAAATATAACGGAGTGTATTATATCATATCCTGGAGACGAGACTGTCTGGGAGAGGGGGGACTTAGAGAGGTGAAATGGCAGAGTCAGCACAAGAATTGGGAATGTAAATACTATCAACTATAGCTTCCTTTATTAGGTAAACATTGCTGATTTGGGCTCATGATTCCCTATTATGTGATCATTTGTATCATCTTCTGGTAGAATAATATTTAAACAGGAACACCTGATCTTTAAATAGGCTCTTCAGTATAAAAGTGTTGCTGCACTCATCTCTCATTAATACTTTAGTATTCCCATTTCTGGTTTTTTTCTTTTTCTGCGTGACAACTATAGCCTTGTGTCCTTGGGTCTGACTTGTTGCTAAATTTCTCCTCTTCTTTCCTCTTAAGCTATAGAGGCAATATGGGATGTATCCTTAGCTGGACGATAGGGTTTATCTCTGAAGTGTTGTAGACCATCAGGTTATAAGGAAAGCAGAATGTCTGGGAAAGAAGATTATAGCTTGATAAACTGCTTCTTTTGTCAGAAATTGCCAGCAATTAAGAACAGTCACAAAGTAGGTTTCCATTCTCCCTCCAACATACACACAGTGCAGCTTCTGTCCCGAGAGATAAAGAATGGCAGTTGTGCCTAACCGATATGGCTCAGCAGTTGAGCATAGACCCAGGAACCAAGAGATCACAGGTTTGATTCCTGATCAGGGCACATGCCTGGGTTGGGGCTCGATCCCCAGTAGTGGGGGTACAGGAGGCAACCAATCAGTGATGTTTCTCATCAATGTTTCAACTCTATCCCTCTCCCTTCCTCTCTCTCTAAAAAACTCGATAAAAACATATTTTTAAAAGAAGAATGGCAGTTGTCTCTTTGGTTTAATACCTGTTTGGCCTGGATTCAATTTGTAAAATAAATCTAAATGAAGTCCATAATGTTTTTAAGATCACACATACTTCACTATCTCTATACATCAGACTCATAGACATTGGTCTAGCTTACACAAAGCTTCCTAGAAGAATTTTAGGGTTATTTTCCCTTTTTATTAAGTAAAGCCTATTTATTTATTTAAATGTGTTTTTTTTTTTACTGATTTCAGAGAAAGGAAGAGAGAGACAGAAACATCAGTCATGAGAGAGAATCATCAATTGGTTGCCTCCTGCATGCCCCTACTGGGTATCAAGTCCAAAACATGGGCTTGCGCTCTGACCAGGGATTGAACTGTGAGCTCCTGGTTCATGGGTTGACACTCAACCACTGCTACACTGGCCAAACAAGCCTATTTATTTTCTTTTTTTTTTTTTTTAAATCAATCTTTATTGTTCATATTATTACAAAGGTTCCTCATTTCTTCCCCCCTCCACCAGGCTCCCAACCCACCCTCCGACCCCCCTCCATCCCCCATTGTCCTCATCCATAGGTGCAGTTTATGTTCAGTCTCTTCTTCCCTCCCTTTCCCCAATAGCAAATCCCTTTTCAGCTAGTAAATCAGTTACTTAGCATTTTCTCAAATCAATAATACCTCCACATGCCCAATGATACACTTCACACAAAAGATATTTCCCAATAGGTCCACCAGCCTCATCCAGGCCCCACCCAAGGCACTCACAGATCAACACCCCAGCCCTATACTAACTCAACACATCCAGATCTAAGCCTTCATCACTTGATTCAGCAGAACCCTCAAGTTCCCACGAAAGTTTCCAGCCATGTCTGAGAAGCAGCCGTGGGGCAGGGGCCAGCGAGGAGCGAGCTGTTCCGGGCCTGGCTGCTCAGGGCCTGGCCTCCGTTGCTCTGGTTCGCTCCACAACCAGCTGCTCCGGGTCTGGTCACTGCCGCTCCCGACCTAGTTGCTCTGGACTTGGCTGCTGCTGCTCCGGGCCTGGCCGCTCCCAGCCTGGCAGCTGCTGCTCCGGGCCTGGCCGCACCCGACCCGGCTGCTCCTGGCCTGACCACCCCCAGCCTGGCAGCCGCTGCTCCGGGCCTGGCCGCACCCAACCCGCCTGCTCTCCCGGGCCTGGCCGCTCCCAGCCTGGCAGCCGCTGCTCCGGGCCTGGCCGCTCCCAGCCTGGCAGCCGCTGCTCCGGGCCTGGCCGCACCCGACCCGCCTGCTCCCCCGGGCCTGGCCGCTCCCAGCCTGGCAGCCGCTGCTCCGGGCCTGGCCGCACCCGACCCGCCTGCTCCCCCGGGCCTGGCCGCTCCCAGCCTGGCAGCCGCTGCTCCAGGCCTGGCCGCCCCCAGCCTGGCAGCCGCTGCTCCGGGCCTGGCCGCACCCAACCCGCCTGTTCTCCCGGGCCTGGCCGCTCCCAGCCTGGCAGCCGCTGCTCCGGGTCTGGCCGCTCCCAGCCTGGCAGCCGCTGCTCCGGGCCTGGCCGCACCCGACCCGCCTGCTCCCCCGGGCCTGGCCGCTCCCAGCCTGGAAGCCGCTGCTCCGGGCCTGGCCGCACCCGACCCTGCTGCTCCCCCGGGCCTGGCCGCTCCCAGCTTGGCAGCCGCTGCTCCAGGCCTGGCCGCTCCCAGCCTGGCAGCCGCTGCTCCAGGCCTGGCCGCACCCGACCCGGCTGCTCCCCCGGGCCTGGCCGCTCCCAGCCTGGCAGCCGCTGCTCCAGGCCTGGCCGCACCCGACCCGGCTGCTCTGGGCCCGGCTGCCCCGGACCCGGCCGCTCCGAGCCTGGGCACTCCCAGCCTGGATGCTCTGGGCTTGGCTACTGCTGTTCTGGGTCTGGCTGCTCCCACCCCGGCTGCTCTGGGCCTGGCTTCTCCGGGCCCGGCCACTCCGGGTCTGGTTGTTCCTGGACTGGCCTCCCTGGGCTTGGCCGCTTCCGCCTCAGGCCTGGCTGCCACTGCCCCAAGTCTGGCTGCTCCAGTGCTGGCTGTTGATGCTCTGGTTCTGGCTGCTGCTGCTCTGGGGCCTGGCTGTTGCTGCTCCGGGCCTGGCTGCCACTGCCTTGTGCCAGGCCACCCTAGGCCTGGCCGCCGCTGTTCCAACATTCTGTCCTTTTTTTTTTTTTTTCTTTTTTTTTTTTTAAAACGCATTTATGTTGCAATGTTGACTGTTGAGTTGAGTTCTGACTTAGTCTTTGATTTTTCAAGAACTTCTTTGTATTCTTTCTTAAGTAATTTTACTATCTTTTGCTCTCCCTTGATTTCTTCACATTGAGAACTTCTTTGGTTTCTTCCTCCTTGTCCTGGGAGCTCAGCTAGTTGGCCTGTGGCACCCCTTTGTTCTCCGCGGGCTCCTGCACTGCTTTAGCCTGTTGCCGGGGACGGCGCCGCCCAGGAAGCAGCCCCCCTGGCCTTGGCTCCATTGCCCGCGCTCAGTGGTGGAAGGATCAGGGGCACCCCCCCCAGGGGCCCCGTCGCCGGGCTCCCCGCGTTCCCCCAGCCTGGAGCTTTTTTTCTCCTTCCCGCTAGGGGAGTCCAGCATCAGAGTCAACAGACTGTCCTCTGCGCGCAGTATGCGCGCGACTCCGGGGGCCCGGCCTTTCGCTGCTCTCCCCGGACTCCACCTCACAGCCCCGTCTCCCTCTGCCTGAGTCTGGGTCCCCAGGGATTGGCCCAGAACTGGGGTTCCGAGCAGTCCGGACTGAGGCTCAGCGCCGCCGGAGGCCTTGTTTCTTCCGGCTAGGGCAACCCAGCATCAGAGTCAACATTCAGTCCTCTGCGCGCGCATTGCGCGCGACTCCGGGGCGCCCTGCTTTTCGTTGCTTTTCCGCCTCACAGCCCCGTCTCCTCCTGCCGGAGCCTGGGTCCCCAGGGTCTGGCCCATAACTGGGGCTCAGCGCTGCCGGTTCGGGGGGCTCAGCGCTGCCGGTTCGGGGGTTCAGCCCAGGCTGGGGGTTTATTTCCTTCCTGCTAGGAAGGGAAAGGCAGCACCCCGCCCTCTCCTCCTCTCCGGCTGCGACCTTTCCGAGCACGCGCGCGGGCGGGCGCTCAGCATGTCTCCGTACCTTAGGCTTTTTTTTTCAGCTCCTCTGAATTTCTTTCTGGTTTTCTCTTTCCTTCTTGTTGTAGAAATTTCAGTCAGTCGACTACCTGTAGCTCTGAGCAATGTCCACTCTACATCTTAGTTGTATTCCATTGAAATTGTTGTGTGCTGCCGCGGCTAGATGTCTACCCGAGCAGCCATCTTGGATCTCCCTATTTTCATATATTTTGTAGTCAACCACCTGACTGAATTCTTTTATTTTTATAGTAGTCTTTCATTTGCTCTCATTTTTATAGTAGTCTTTCATTTGATTCTCTTGGGTTTTCCATACACACATCATTTCATCTATAAATAATAATGATTTGCCTGCTCCTCACCTCCTATTTTTTTTCTTATCTAATTGTTCTGATTACTACCTCCAGAACAGTGTTGAAAATATGGTGTGATTTTGTTTAACACCTTAAATTCGTGGAAGCTGGAGAAAGGAAATAAGCTGTATCATCAGCAGTATCTTGGGAGGCAGAAATCAAACTTGGGGGCAGGTATTCTTGATCTTACAGGAACAAGTCTATGCAATACAGCTTAGGGTTCCCTTCATACATGTGTAATTCTCCATCACTGTGGACCTGTGTAACATGTGGAGAACAGTGGGCTCCTCAGTCACCCGTTGAAACTCCCTCGGCCCTCCAGGAAGGCTCTCGGTGTGATGACCACAAACCTCCCAGATACCTTTCAAGACTGCCGCTGACCGTGCTCTTGTCTTCCAGGCGCAGCTTCGGGCATTTATTCCGGAGATGCTCAAGTACTCTACAGGTCGGGGGAAACCAGGCTGGGGCAAGGAGAGCTGCAAGCCCATCTGGTGGCCTGAAGACATCCCGTGGGCGAACGTCCGGAGCGATGTCCGCACAGAAGAGCAAAAGCAGAGGGTGAGTCGTCTGGCCTGAGTGCCTGTTGCTTTTCCATTTTGAATCAACCCCTCAGTTTTTGTCTTTCTACTTCTTACGCTAAGGAGTCTAGAAAAATTTGTGTAATAGTCAGACCTGTCCCCCCAAAGAAGTTAGTCTCTGATTTATACACCTCTCTCTGCATAGGCCTTTGGAGCAGTCTTAATTTTATGAGGTGCATGGAAAAACTGAAGAAACTTGTAATAAAATCATTAATCACTTTAAAACTTAGAAATGTTTTTTAGTTCTGGTTAGCAAGAATCACTGTTGAAAAATATAAATGTGGAATTAGAGAGATGTGAAGTTCGCCACGTCTTCAGGTAAAAAAGAAGAAAGACTAAACTAGATGTCATCCTTTTTCTGCATATTTGGTTTCAGTCAGCTTGGACATTTACTGAGAATTTAATATAAAATTATTGAGAAAAGACTAATCTTTTGTGAGAAGTTTTAAGAGTTGGCACAGGTTAGAATAAAGTAATTAAAATCCAAAAGTGGGAAATTATTGTTTCTTGGTATTGAGTTTCTTTAGGAAAAAGAGAGTGTACTCTGTCTGAGGTTTGTTTTGTTTTGATAAATAGTCAACTGCTTATTCCATATTGGAAATAACCACTATTTTTGTGACTTAATGTGCTTTTCTGGTCTTTTGGTGACAGGTTTCATGGACCCAAGCACTACGGACCATAGTTAAAAACTGTTATAAACAACACGGGCGGGAGGACCTTTTGTATGCTTTTGAAGATCAGCAAACACAAACACAGGCCACAACCACACACAGTATAGCCCATCTCGTTCCATCACAGACCGTAGTCCAGACCTTTAGTAACCCTGATGGCACTGTCTCACTTATCCAGGTGAGTAAACCTTAGGGTTACCAGATTGTGGCTTCTGGGGCAGATCAGGGAGCACCTCACCACAGAGTGGAGAAAGTTTCCTTTCTGCAATTTCCTGTATTAATTTTATATAGTCCCCCAAGATCTTCCTGCTGAAAAAGGATTTTTTTAAAAATATATATTTTATTGATTTTTTTTACAGAGAGAAAGGAAGAGGGATAGAGAGCTAGAAACATCGATGATGAGAGAGACATCCTGCACAACCCCCACTGGGGATGTGCCCACAACCAATGTACATCCCTTGACCGGAATCGAACTTTTCAGTCTGCAGACCAACGCTCTATCCACTGAGCCAAACCGGTTTTGGCTGAAAAAGGATTTTTGAATAATATTTTAAATTTTTAGCATTTTGCTAAAAACAGAGCTTTAGTTATCTTTTCTTGACACTTCCAAAAAAAAAATTTTTTTTTATCGTTTCACTTTGTCAATAACCAGGAAATATTCCTTCTGTATTACCTGTAAGAATTTTTAGTAGATAGGGAACCTCTAAAATTCAGGTTGGGGTTGATCAAATACAAAGTTGATTGATGGACATTGGACATGGGTAGTAAAATGTGATAGCTTTTAATACTGATTTATTTGGTTGAAGTAAAACTCTGAAACTCATGTGTCTTAGTTATAATTGTATAACTCATTTCATATTACAAAGCCTATTGCTATTTATGCTGAATTGAGGGTTAAATGAGTATTAACTTCTGAGTAGAGGAGAAGTAGGAGGATTCATCCACTGACACTTAATTGCTTTCCATACATTTCTTTAGGTTGGTACAGGGGCAACAGTAGCCACATTGGCTGATGCTTCAGAATTGCCAACCACAGTCACTGTTGCCCAAGTGAATTATTCTGCTGTGGCAGATGGAGAGGTAAGAAAGATGATCCTGTCTGCATCTGCTTAAATACTTGGATATAACCAGTGTCACCCCAATAAAGTCCATACAAAGTAAAAATAAGTACTCGGATATAAAGGTGAGGATATAAAGGTCCCGAAGATGAAGAGATGAAAACCGCCTACATATCTGTGGCAATGTTTTATTCAAACCTTTAACAAAGAATGTTATGCCGTGTATGTTAATTATAACAGTTGAAATTCATGGATCTTTATGATTGGACCTAACTATTAAGAATTTACAATTTTTACATTTATAATATATCATTTTGTTTAATATACTATAAAAAGGATTATCCATTTAATACTTTTATGCTTTGAATCTCAAAGGATTTAATTCTTAGGTTTTATTTTAAAAATTAGATCATTAAAACTGGAGCTGACAAAAGTATTATTTGAAAGGGTAAATACTATATTTGTAAATCAGTAGACCTGATTTATTACATTTTAAATGTGCATTTGAAAAGGCTTCACAAGCACATTCTTCCCTACCAAAATCAAGGTAATTATGGAATGTTAACCTGAAGATAGAAGTACTTTATGAAGTACTTGGTATAGTAAGCACTCAACCCTATGAAGCATAGTCTCTCTTACCAACTTTACTTATAGATGAGAAAACTGCAACATGTAGAGGTTATGAGACTTGCCCAGAGTCCCAGAATAAGTGTTAAAAGCTCATTAATACATTGTCTAGACCCTGAGCTGTGAGCTATCAGTGAAGTTTAAGAAAGAGTTCACTAAGTCACTATGAACTTTCCCCCTAATACATGGTATATGTCTGAAGTTTGAAAAATAGCCAACAAATGTCAAAGAGAAGTATCAGAATTAAAGTTAAAATTATCTTACCCTTGTTCAAAACCATGGAACATTTCTACTCAGAACTGCACAGTCAATTTCGTTTGCACATCTCAGGAAAGGGAGAGGACGGATCAGGCTCTCATGCCGAGAGATGAAGGGAAGCAGAGCCTGGCTCCTCAGGAACCGGCTTTTATTGAGCCCTGCTTGTACAATTGGTGTGTTGACTTAGGAACCCTGCTTGAAGGAGCTCCTGCCTGGTGGGGATGAGAACTGTCCTGCATAAATGAACTATGGTCCAGGCTAAGTGCATCGATGATGCAAAATGATCTGTGCTTTCAGGAGAGAAAGCTAACAGGGAGTCTGGGAAAGCTTGGGCAGGAGCTAGCATTTGGTTTTTCAGTGTAGAAAGGTGAAGGAAAACAAGATACTTACTTTTATAAATTTATGAACATTATGAAAGAGTACGGATTAGCTAAGGGGAAAATCCGTCAGTCCCCAAACTCTAAAACTAGAGGACACTCCTTGCAGTGTGAAAGAGGAAGAGAAGAGAGCTAAGTACATGTCCAGATTGAAAGGAAATTTGAATTTCTTACACACTTCTTTAGAGTCTTTGAAACCTATTTTACTAAATAACTTCACATATTCAAAGATCATTAATGTCAAAATTTCACAGAAAGCATGAAGGATAAACAATCTCAGTCACATACCTTTGGCTTTTTCACCAAACTATCATTATTTTTAAGTCATTTGTTATGGGAATGGATGAGTGACCTGTAAGTAGCCTGTTGATTAATCTCCAGTCAGTCAGACAAAAAAAATTCTAACTCTTTCCTCCCTTCCAGTTAAACAAAAAGGATATAAAGAGAAGAAGCATAGGTTGTCAGAAAATGACAAACCTTTTTAGACTTTATAGAATGATTCTATTTGGCTTCTGATTTCTCTTAGACATTAACATGGATGTTAGCATCTTAGTTTTGAGCCATCAGAATGGTAATTGGTCAAAATATCTCACTGACTTGAGGCAGATAAGACCACATCAAGCCAGAGAAACATTACCCCACGTGACTCAGGATAAACATTCTCCTGCTTTGTGTTTAGCCTTTTTCCTCCAAAAAACAAAAACAAAAGTACTTTACAAAAATAAACATTACCCAAACTTTTAGAAGTTGGAAGGTTACTTATTATCCCAACCTTGCCAGTGAGAACACCTATCATTAGAGCAAACTGCCTTTAATATCTGGTTGGTTGCGTTTGGTTACATTTAGTCCAAATGGAAGAATTATTTGGGGGCTTCTCTGTTCTGGTAATATATGGTCTCCCAAATCTGCTTGCATACTCTGTGTGCTGGAATATCCAACAACAAAAATCTCTAACCTTAGGCAGCTTATAACTAATTAGGGACACAGAAAAAGGTAGGTGGACATTTAGAAATGAACAAGAATAGATTTCAAAATAATATGAGATAAATATGTTGATATCAAAATATTTATACAATTTCAATTTTGATGTCATATTTACAAATACAAATAGATTTGAGAATTTATTCTGTTGCATGATTAGATCACCAATAGCTGTTGGCGATATTAATTGTATTATATATCAGAAAAGTCAAAGTTTGAAATAGAATGGTATGTGATAATAATGGTATATATGATTATGTTAGAAGGAAAGAACCAAAGTACAAAAGCTTTATAGGCATAAATTTTAAATTGAACTACTAATACATGTAACAGTTTTGAAGTAGCACAACTTATCTTAGGTGGGTTTTTTTAGTGAATATTAATTTACCTGAAATACAGGTTAATAAAAAAAAAAAAAAAGTAGGGAAATATAAATGAAGGAGTATGTTCTTCATCCATTCAGCAAACACATTCATTGTGGGGCACTATAGATAAAGAAAATAAAGACTGCTCTTGCTCTTAAGGAGCACACAGGTGGGTGGTAGGAAAACCACCACAAAACAATGGCAATGGGATAAGGAGCCTATAGAAGCACCCAGAGTGCTCTGCACCCCGAAGAGAGGCCTGAATCTGGACTGGAGGGGAGTGCAGGTGTCTCGCTCCTTCGGTCGCCCCTGAACGCAGACTAGAAGGGTGGACAGGAAGGCAGGCTGGAAAGATGGGAGTTGTATTCCTATCAAAGGGAGCAGCACGTGCAATGCATTGCATTGGAAAGTGAGGGAGAGCCACAGGTGGTTAACTGTGACCAGAGGGGGAATACGAGTAGTCACAGTTTGAAGGGCCTCGCTATAGTGGGTCTCTTTCAGCAAAGCATAGAAGCTAACTGTACATCTTCTGAATATCTTTCCTCCTAGGGCTTGTGGCCCTTTCTCTGGGACATGGTGACATCCAGGAATAGATAACCACACAGATGGAAAGGGAGAGCAACAAGAGCCCAAGCAAATACAACTAAAGCACTGAGACTCAAAAATAGGAATTCCAAAGAAGTGTTCATACCTAAGCTGATTATTACTTGTCTTTTTTTTTTTTTTTTTTAAATAGAAATCTCTGTCTGCTTCTTCTTCTTCTCCACCCTTTACCAGCATCCATTATATAATTTAACTTCCTTAAATTATGTTGTATATGGCAACATTTTAATGCCATTTTCACTACAGATGTAGTTGTAACTAAATGTATGTATATCAGGCCCTGGCCGGGTAGCTCAGTTGGTTAGAACATCGCCCTGATATGCCAGGGTAGTGGGTTCCATCCCCGGTCAGGGCACACAAGAAGCAACCAATGAATGCATCGATAAGTGGAACAATAAATCGATGTTTCCCTTACCCCACCCCCCTCCAATTCCTCTCTCTCCAAAAAATCAATAAATACATTTAAAAAAATTAAATGTCTATATATTAAGTTACTGCCATTGGAGTATAAATGCTTGGGAGAGCTATACCAGGCCAGCTCAGTAGTGGGATGGGCAAAAATATTGAGGGGCAGGTCTGGGAAAAGACTGTTTAATGGCAAAAGGTGACAGGGCTGGCCAACACTTGCTGATGTTTTGAGTGGAATCTTTGAGCATCTACAACTTGGCAGTATCACTTGCCATCCAATGTGGCACTGTTGGCAGTGATGCTCATCGGAGCAATGAGATCAAAGGGGTGATACCGTGGAAAGTCAGAGTTTTGTGAGCGCCTGAGTGGGCAGCTTTGCAGCTCCCAGGGAAGGAACTAGGATGTCTCCGCCTCTTAGTGATGGGCTCTGAAGGCTTGCTGACACAGTCCATTGCCTACGAGAACCAGGACAAATACTAAGGAAGCTCAAAGGAATATCTCACTCTCTGGAGGGCTTTTGACAAACATTCTGAGAAGCAGTGTCATAATCTCAGCATGGCAAAAGAGCCAAAGCAGAATTTGTGGAACTTTCTTTGGGATGCATAACATGTGGGCACAAGTTAACCATTTATTGGGCCCCAGTTATGTGAAGCGGGAACAGCAAGAGGTCCAGTAAACAAAGCTACTGTCCTGAGGACTCAAATCCATAGAAATATTTTACTTTAGCTGGCAGAAACCAATTTGGCTCAGTGGTAGAGCATCAGTCTGCGGACTGAAAAGTCTCAGGTTCGATTCCGATCAGGGGCATGTACGTTGGTTTGCGGGCACATCCCCGCAAACCCCTTGCACACCCCGTAGGGGGTGTGCAAGAGGCAGCTGGTCGATGTTTCTCTCTCATCAACATTTCTAGCTCGCTCTCTCTCTCCCTTCCTCTCTGTAAAAAATCAATAAAATATATATATTTTTAAAAAATATTTTACCTTAGCTGATTGATGTATCACCTCCTATATTTTGCCCTGCTACTTTTTGTTTTCGAGAGAGAAGAAATAATCAACTGGTGATTATTGAGCAAAATGGACTGAAGTGGTTAGATTTAGATATCCAGAACTGAGAAGTCTCTAAATGCAAAGCGTACTAAAATCGGTAGTTCTCAGTCAGGGGTTCCCCAGCAAACTCTCAGAAGGAACATTTGGCAATGTGTGAATGAAGGTAATAGTTTTGATTGACATGATGGAAGGTGCTTTTAGCAACTAGCAGGTAGAAGCCAGGGATGCTGCTAAGCATCCACAATGCACAGGACAGCCTCTGACAAGAAAGAATTATCTGGTCCAAATGTTAATAGTGCACAGTTGATAAAACCTGTGCCAGCTCTAGCAAAGCTGAATTCTCATCTACTTGTCACTGGTAGTGTATTCTGTTTCTTCATCATTCTTTCCCAATAAAAGCAAAGCAGGTTTTGCTACATTAAATTACTGAATTTGAAATTTCTATCAAAAGTAAAAATGCGCCGAAACCGGTTTGGCTCAGTGGTAGAGCATCGGTCTGCGGACTGAAAGGTCCCAGGTTCGATTCCGGTCAAGGGCATGTATAATACCTTGGTTGCGGGCACATCCCCGGTAGGGGGTGTGCAAGAGGCAGCTAGTCAATGTTTCTCTCTCATCGACATTTCTAGCTCTCTATCTCTCTCCTCCTCTCTGTGAAAAATCAATAAAATATATTAAAAACAAAAAACAAAAAACTGTGACCTTTTAAAAAATAAAATAAAATAAAATAAAAATGCAAAATGACTTTGATATACAATTCCATCTCTAGAAATTTACTCTGTAAATAGACTCAAAATGTACAAAGTGGTATTTGAGGCTATTCATCACAGTACTGTTTATACTAGCAAAACACTGGAAACTATAAATGCCCATTAAATGATGGCTGGTTAAATAAATTATGGTGTATCAATATAATACAATGCTGTGCAGCCATTATTATGAATCCTTAATGAAGTAATTTTATATGTTCTGAGATAGAGCCATTTCATAGATGTATTATTTGTGCTAAAAGCAAGGTACAAAAGGATATGTTGCATATAGTGCCATTTTTTATTTTTTTTTAAAGAAAGGGGGAGCCCTGGCCGGTTTGGCTAAGTGGATTGAGCATTGGCCGGCAGACTGAAGGGTCCCTGGTTTGATTCTGGTCAAGGGCACATGCCTTGGTTGGAGGCTTAATCCCCCGTGGGGGGGCGGAGAGGGCGTGCAGGAGGCAGCTGATCAATGATTCTCTCTCATCATTGATATTTCTATCTCTCCTCCTTTTCTCTCTCAAATCAATAAAAATATATTTTTAAAAAAGAAAGGAGGAGTATTTGTATGTAAATATGCTTGCACATAGAAAGAATATCCCTGCAAAGATATATAAGAAATAGGTAATAGGAATGGCTTATTTCTTGGACAAACAGTCTATAGAGTTCTGGCATTACAGTCCCTTTGAATATATTTTAGTATGAATATATTTTAGTTACATTTATGCTCTAAATTAAAATTTTTGAATAGGTAACTGATAAGGCTCAGATACTTCAAAAATTATTTTAAAATATACAGTAGAAAATCTTGCTTTCTGATTCCTATTCAAGTTATTAACCTCAACTCACAAACCAAGGGAAATATTTTCAGTGGTTTCTTTGCTATCTTTCCAGAATTTTTTATGTAAATATAAGCAAGTTCAAATATACTAATTCCCCACCTCCCTTTACACAACAGCATACTTAAAACCGTGATCTGTACATTGTAGGTCATGTTCACTTAAAAGTATAAATGTATTTGGCTGAGCACATAACAATTAGAACAATGACTTAAGAATCATAATCGTTCTGTGACTTTGATTCTTTACTATCGTGTCTTTTCTGCTTCAGGTGGAACAAAACTGGGCCACGTTACAAGGAGGCGAGATGACCATCCAGACGACGCAAGCTTCGGAGGCCACGCAGGCAGTGGCATCATTGGCAGAGGCCGCGGTGGCAGCTTCTCAGGAGATGCAGCAGGGAGCCACAGTCACCATGGCACTCAACAGGTGGAGGCAGGGGTGGGGAGAATAAGTGAGCTTGGCGAGTCTGTCCTTCCATCCTCGTTGTAGAGAAATGTACCTCCGTTTGTCACAATCGGCCGTTCGAGTTTAATGCTGTTAGCCCTTAGGATATTGTAAGTTGACTTCTAATCAACCCTCATCCACTCCGTTCCTACTCCCCCGGCCCCACCCCAGCAACCAATCCAGCTTTTCTGATTTCTAGCTCAAGCCTGCTAGTGAGGGACACTGGTCCTTTTTTTTTTTTTTTTTTTTTTTTTTATCTCATTCTGTGCCTATTAGCAATAAGGTTTGAGTACTTTGTTTTTCAAAGGGACTAAAAGATGTAATAAATCAAGCCGCTTCAGGGTTGATTTCCCTTTTACCCTATAAAAGAAAACAGCTTTTTGTTAGGGATATTAATCTATTTTTTAGCTGGTTGAGAGCTGACTTTACTGACTTTTCAGGAAGTGTGTTTTCCTTGCTTATCGAAGACTTTGAAATAAAATAAGTTTTGGGTTGTTGGGGAAAATCATTGAATTTATTTCTTTAGGTATGTTTAGGAAGGATGCTGCAGAATAGGATACTCCAGTAAGGGGTAGTTTCCAAAACTAAATTGTCTTATTTCCTGCTGACCCCTTCTACTGGTTCTTGACTGAAAAGATCATCCTCATATATTCTTTTTCTTCTTCGTTGTTGACACAGTTTTATTTTCAGTGGACTTGGGCCCCTTAACTAATAATTAAGAATGTGTATCTTGAAGCCAGACTGCCTGATTTGAATCCCAGCTCTGGCACCTCCTAGCTGTTTGAGCTTGGGTGATCGACCTCAGTGCCCAGACTTTTCTCTTCTGTCAAAGGGGGTAATGACAGTCCTTACCTTGTAGGGTGTTGTGAGAACTAGAGGAGTCGATGCATTTGAGACCCTTACCAGCTCCTGGCACATGGTGACACCGCCGTACAGCAGCTGTTAGTCTTTGTGGTCATTGAACTCTTGTGACATCCCAGCACTCTAATGGTGAGGTTGCATATGAAGAGTGCTCTCAAGTGTAATGTCTCCCTCAGTGAGCCATTGGGAAGATTGGTTTAAGGGAGACATTTAGCAAGCAGTATTGCTCAGAGTGTAATAGGCTCTTGAATTGTGTAGTGTAGGCTGAATATCATAAAAATTTGGAGGAGTGGGATCACCTCAAAAATATAGAAATCAGCTAAAGTTTAGGTTGGTTGTGATAGACTAGAAAGCCTTGATAGGATTATGTACAGTGCTTTCCACGAGGCTAGAGAGGAGGTTAGGAGGTCACATAGATTCAGGTTTGAATCCTAGCTCTGCCACCTACTACCATGTTTCCCCGAAAATAAGACCTAGCGCATGGAAAGATAAGACATCCCCTGAAAATAAGACCTAGCGCAACTTTGGGAGAAATTTTCGGGAAACAGGGTAGCCATTAGATCTTGAGAAATGTTAACTTCTAACCTGGGTCTTCTCAAAGTTATAATAAGGGTGATTTTCATCATGTAGACTAAAAGGGATTCAATAAGATAATGTATATAAGACTCAACAAAGTATCCAGCCTCTAGTTAGCACTTCAGAAATTATAGTTATTTAAATAGCTTATAGGGAGAAGAGATTAGAAATAAAAAGCCAGTTAGGAAGAAGCAATCCAGATGTGACTTGTCAAAGGCTTGAAAACTAAAATAATAACAGTGGAGATGACGTGACTGGTTTTGAAGGCAGCATGGCTGGACTTGGTGGTTGGGCACAGAAAACTGGAAACACACAGTTGTCCTCCCAGTTACCCATCGAGTCCCTGAGTGACCTGCAATTGAAACCTTTTTCTTAGCCCATTGAACCATGTTGCTTTTCAGTAACATGAAAGTGTTACTTGATTTCTCACTTTGGCCCAGTCCCACTCTGCTCTGAGAGGTTTCCTGAAAGCCTTGGCCAGAATGAGAGCCCCCCTCCCTTTTACCCAGTAACTCCTCACTGGCATGGGGCCTTACTGGCCACCATTAAAGACCAGCAAAACTTTATTTTATTGAGTCAGTGCTTTCAGTATTCCAGTGAAGACTGGAATATCCTGGAAACTCTGCACATTGTGGAAAATATGAGGCGCATCCTGGCTCCCTTTAGTGTAAGAACCAGGGCTTATTTCTAAAGGCAAGGAGGAGACTGGTTTCCCCGGAGAGCTTGTTAACAGACTCAGATGCAGCTGAAGTGGCTATCGTGTTTACGCCAGAGGAGGGAGAATGTGGGAGGAGTACAGAGATGGTGAAATCTGTTTGCAATCAAGTAAACGCCCCAGTGAGTGCTGGGGGATGGTGTGTTGCAGCCTTTGCTGGGGGTGAAGAAATCACTCCTGACAGCGAAGACTAGGCTATAGCAGGCTGGTAGGGGGACATCAGAGGTTTTCTGATTCCAAGAGAAGTAACCTACCGTCTAGTGGCAGGAGGAGTGGACTGAAGACATGCGTCCTTGGTGATTGCTTCCCTAAGGGATGAGATGCACCCTGAAGTCATCTTAGTGATAATATACTAAGAAATCGGGCCTTTGTTCCTATGGTAACAAAGTGAGTTCATAGAGCTGCTCCCACCTAGCAGTCAGGTGCAGATGGGACAAGCAAGGTTTTCTAATAATCACCAGCGCCTCTGCTCACTGTAAACAGCAGATGTGGGCGCAGAGTGAGAAGAGAGGCAGGCTGCATGGGCTGGCAGGTGGGGAAGAGGAAGGCAGGGGGCACCTTCATCTGTCAGAGGGAGAAGGGGATCGGCACAGATGCAGGACGGACCTGTTTTTCAACCATGCTGCCAGGAGACTTTCGCACAGCAAGTCAGGACAAGGGCCTGGACTCAGGCAGCCTTTAGCCCACCCTGGTCTGGAAAGTAATTTTAATTATTTTCCAAATATATAATAAATCACTTTTAGGAAGGAGATGAGAGAATCAAAGTGAAGAACTGAGCATCACAGCACCAAAAACAAATAAATAAATACATACATACATACATTAATAATAGAGCTATTCAGCCTGAACAACTAGAGGAAAGGAAGTGGAATCATTTGGTTGTTGCAATGTAGTGATTACTTTTAGTTTCAGTTTGTTGGTTAAGCTGTCCTAGATTTATATTTCCTCTTAAACAAGTCAGTTTGCATACATGATAAATACTTGTAGGCTGAACTACAGTTGCCTTAGTGGAAATTCAGTGTGTTGACACCAAGACAGCTTTTACTGTCTACTGTGTGTAGTGCTGTGACTCAGAGCTATGAGAAAACAAATGCCTAAATTGATTTCTCGAGGAATTTAGAGTTGCTGTTCTTTTGCTGTGAAGAAACTTTGCTTAAAAAAGAAGTGAACCAAATTTTCAAAGAAAAAATTACTCTTGCCTTTAAAAAAAAAAATACTGTTGAATTAAATATGTAGACATATTATTAAAATAAAATGTGGCTTTTGTATATGGACTGCTATTTATTTGCCAGTAAAATGGGATGGACAACCTAGATCTGGAAATGGAGGGCAGGGACTGTGTAACCACTTCTTTTTCCTGTAGATAAGGTTTGACACTCGCAAATAAAAAGTTAGGAAATGACTTTTGTCAAAAAATTGTGAAGTGGTAGCTTAGAGATGTTTTAATGCCTATTCACCTTTTAAGTAAAGGTAATCTTTTTTCTAGCAATAGCGTTTGATCACTTTTTATGAAATCTAGTGGAAGTGGTTAAAATGGATTTTGAACTGAAATCTAGTGGAAATGGTTAGAGTAGATTTTGAACTGCATTTGCTGACCTCTGGAGTCACCCCCTGTCTTAATGCCCCATGTAAAACGTCCAACCCTTCTGCCTTGCCTATGGCTCCTGACGGGATGAGAAAACTGACCTCACTGACCTGGGACCTGTCATCTCCATTGGACCCTTCCTCCCTGCAGCCCAGATTGCTTAGGTGGTTGCTGGTCCCAGCTTTGCTTCTACTGTAACGTGTTTTACTTAATTATTTGTTTATTTTGAGAGTATGTTTATTAAAGCTGGGGACAGTGAAAAAGGAAAAGCTTAGGATAGAGGAAGCTACAAGAGAGAGATGAGGGGCTGCTGTGGCTCTCTGGAGACCTTAGAGAAAAGTGAGCCAAGGTGGGGCTGCTGTCGGCTCACTGGGAAGTTGAGCATCACCTGTGAACCAGGAGGTCATGGTTCAATTCCCTGTCAGGGCATATGCCCAGATTGCAGGTTTGATCCCTAGAAGGGGCATGCAGAAGGCAGCCAATCAATGATTCTGTAACATCCTTGATGTTTCTGTATCTTTCTCCCTCTCCCTTCCTCTCTAAAATTAATGTATTTTTTAAAAAGAAAGGAAGTCACAGAGAAAGAAATAAGCCAAGTCAGGGCTGCTGAAAGTCAGGGAAGGGGGCATTGGAGACAAGTTCAGAGGGTTAGCCCGGGATGGGCTGCCACTGCCCATTGCTCCCTGGTTGCAAGTCTCGTGGGGACCCTTGGAGTTTACCGAAGGAGAGAAAAGTGAAGATGCATGCCTGAGAGGGAGGAGAGGCATGGCATGCTCCCAGAAGGGAGAGCGCACTTACCTTAACATTTTAGAAAAGTATTAAAGAAAATGTCTTTCAATATTTTGACCTTCAGACAAAATAAAATAGGAGTAATTGGCTACAGATAAACTTTCATGTGAGGACTTGGGTAGCTGCCCTCCCCATCACTGCCTGTGACACTCCACACTACAAGCATGTGTCCGGGTGCACAAGAGTGGCAGGGAATCACCTTTGATGGTCACAGAAATAAGAGGGTTGTAAACTGTGATTAAAAACAGAATGAGCCGAAACCAGTTTGGCTCAGTGGCTAGAACGTCGATCTGTGGACTGAAAGGTCCCAGGTTCGATTCCGGTCAAGGGCATGTACCTTGGTTGTGGGCACATCCCTGGTAGGGGGTGTGCAGGAGGCAGCTGGTCGATGTTTCTGTCTCATTGATGTTCTAGCTGTCTATCCCTTTCCCTTCCTCTCTGTAAAAAATCAATAAAAATATATTTTTAAAAAAACATACACACACACAAAAAAAAACACAAGACGGAATGAGCAGTGGCCGAGGTAACCTGTAAATAAAAATCCTGTTTCCACATAAACAGTTCTCATCTGCAGCTTCCTTCTCCACACAGCTGCTTTTTTCAAAGAACATTTTTTTTTAGCTTTCCATGAAATCTCAGGTCAGAGTGTTAACACTGTAAAATAGGATGTTAGTATTATTTGACACAAGTTTTTTAGAAAAATATTAACTAAATAGGATCTAGGCACTAAATAATACTTTGTTTCACTACCTCTGATACTTATGAAGCACTTTGAAATTAAAATTTACCATGTGATTTGTAAAGAATAGCCTTAGTAATAATTCCAGATTAAGGCTCCCCTTTGGCCTGAATTCGTGTTACAGATACTATGGAGTGACTGGCTGGGGAGTATCAGTTCACTAAGAACTGTTACAGCATAAAAGATTATCTTAGCTTCTACATGGGCTGCATGAAAACTATTCTGTTCAGTTTTTGCTCAACCTCAATTATATCTCAAAATTTGTTATGAAGGAAATAAATTTGAAATATGTAATCATGACCTTGAACTAAGTCAAAGGGAGAAGCATCCAAATTAAAGGTTGCCACAGCTATGTAACTTTAAAAGAGAAAAGTCAGCACTTTGAAATTTAATTTATTATTTTGAATAAATGTCAAAGTATATTTATATGGGGTCAATACATTGTTAGGTGGAAAAAAGCAGGCTATAAAACTGTATACAGTATGATTCTGATTATTATCTGTTTAAAGCTGTGTTTAAGATGAGAAGGAAATACTATTATCTCTGTATAGTTTAAATTTACAAGTTTTTTACATGTATTTTATTATTATTATTATTTTGTTAATCCTCACCCAAGGATATTTTTCCATTGATTTTTAGAGAGAGTATAAGGGAGGGGGAGAGAGAGAGAAAAACATAGATGTGAGAGAGACACATCGATTGGTTGCCTCCTACACACTCCCAGGGCCGAGGATCAAGCCTGCAACCTTGACCAGAATTGAACCCTTCAGTCTTTGGGCAGAAACTCTATCCACTGAACCAGACCAGCTAGGGCTTACATACATTTTATTATTAGGAAAAAAATAACTTTAAAACATAAAGATATAAAAGTTAAAAGAAGTAACAAGGGCAGACTTTTCTTTTTAATGAGACTTTTCTGTTCATTCAGTTTCTTTTACTGCTCCCTAGAATCCTATAGTGACCAAGAAATCTTGGGGGGGAGGGGGGTATTGCTTTACTTGTCTGCTGACTTTTTTAGGCAAAAGTGACATTATGATACTACATGTCACTTTGCCCAGTCATCATGTTTACCCTAACCGGTCCATGGCCCCTCGCCCAGCCCCACTCCAGCTTGTAATTGTGACTATTCGAGTTCCGGCAAAGTCTGCAGCCTCAGAACAAAGCCGAGTCAACTGTCTCATTTGGTGTCAAACCCAGGACTTTGTGCTCCTCTGCTAAACTAATGACACCATCTCCTCTTACTGTGCCTGCTTTCCGTACTTCCTCAGCCACCTGCGAAGTGGTACCTGATACTTCCCCAACCCCACATTTAACATCTCTGAAATATGACTGATAAATTATAGTCTTACCTTTACAATTGTCAGGAGTTTCTCTTTTCTTTCTTAATGACACATAAAATAATAACACATTATATAGGGTGTAGCATCATAGAATAAGTAAAAGTGGGTATTTATGCATACAGCAAAAGCATATAGCAAGGAAAAGGAAATGGGAAACACTGTTAGAATAGTGCTCACTATAAACACTGTTAATGTCTATTGTACAGAGTGTTTGTTTTGCAATGAAGGGAGGTTTATTATTTTATGTGTTTCTAGAGTCAAGGAGTTTGGGCTTATAGCGATCATTTTCAATTTTAGGTCTTAATTTTAGCAATGCCTGCATGTGCAGTGAGGCAAAGGGAATAATTGGACTTTGCAGGATAGTCATTAACCGTTACTTTGTATTTAAAATCATGGATATAAACCACATTGTTATTATTTAACATTAATTGAATAGCAAATCCAGGTTGCTGACTCCTCAGATTATCATTTATTCTTGGCTACCAAAGGGCAGTTTTAGGTGATTATCTGTTTTGTGTTACTGTAAAGAGAGAAGGAAAAAAGGAAACCTTGTGATTGACAACCAAAATGGCTTTTCTGTTGTGGCCACGGATCAGAGCTCCACTGGGCTCACAAGCACTCAGTCGCTATCGATAAAGAGGAGACTTTGTCCTCAAACGCCCATTTCCTAGGTTTAAAGAAACTCTCACCGTGGCTTTAGAAATAGGTGAAACTTGGGATTGCTCTGGCTGTCTTTATTGTCATTTAAAAATTACTCCGGCTCCATCCAGCGGGATCGTGTGTTTCCTGCAGGCTCGCAGCACGGAGGCCAAGGAAGGGTGGGAGGGTGGTTTCTCCAGCTGCAGTGCTGGGCCTTTATTCAACTCGCACCCCTCCTGTTCCTGTCCCCGCAGTGAGGCCGCCGCCCATGCTGTCGCCACGCTGGCCGAAGCCACCTTGCAAGGCGGGGGGCAGATTGTCCTGTCTGGGGAAACCGCAGCAGCCGTTGGAGCACTTACTGGCGTCCAAGATGCTAATGGTAAGAGAGCATAAATATTTCATTGAATTTCTTCCTTGTTTCCACTTAAACCTTCATGACATGACTGACAACAAACCCTCCAGAAAGAGGTGGAGCTCTGACTTGAGCTTTTCTTTACTGGTGGGCAATTGATGCCTCGGAAAAGTCTAGGAGCCCCTGGCTCTGTTCACGAGTAGGAGACGTGGGATTTCCTGGGGCGGGGTGGGGGGAGCCATGGTAACGGTTACCTAACTGAGTTGCTTATTTGAAAAGTGACTGTTTCGCTATGACAGGACTTGCTGAGAGGTACTCTTAACATCTGGTGTCCTTGCTGCCCCCGGGGAGAGGTCATGGCCTCTCCTCCAGCAGAGACTCTCCATGGCGGGTGCACCGTGGTTGGCGGCACGCTCCGCCTGGAGGAGGATAAATTATAGCGGTAGCTCTGCTGCAGGTGCCCTTCTGGTGGTGCTGTGGGTGCTGCCTCTTCACGTGGCCTCACCACAGACCGCTGGACTTAGCCAGTAGCATCCTAGCACCCTGCCCTGCTTCCCCAGCTCTCTGACTTCCGGGCTATGGATTATTCCCTGAGGAAATGAAAGGGATAAAGTTCATAGAAATATGGCAGCAAAAATTCACACCGTCAGCCCAGCTCTTTGGCTCTACATCGGCAGGCACTGGGCGTCAGGTATCGAGACTGGGCCTGCCCAGGGAAGGGCCTCAGAAGTCTGGGCTGAGAGGAGGACCAGCCCAGTTGTGTGAGACAGCATGTGATTGTCTGTTCAGCTTTTGTTTTAACTTATATATAATTAGATTGAGCGGGTCAGATTAAGCACCCTGTGGTGCTTTTTCAATTACAGTACAATATTATATTAATTTCCAGCGTACTGGTAGTAATTAGACAGTTCTATAAGATGCTCAATGGTTTTGGAGATTTGTTATTTAAAGTCCTGGAAAGAGGATAGATAATAACGTACATTTGTTTAGCAGAAAGTTCCTTTTTTTTGTTGTTGTTTTTTTTTCAAATTGTTTTAGTCAACTCCACAAAGACAATAATACTGCTATGGAAGACCAGATGGGGAGAAAACCTGATATATTCATTTACAATTCCCAGGCAGAAAGTTCCTTAATGCCATTAGTGGCTGAAAAATGTCCCTGACACTTTTTTTTAGGGTAATCCCTCAGAATTGAATAGGTTTTACTTGGAAAGGTCTTTGAAGAAAGAGTGAGTCTGTGTCCTCCTTTGGAAGTGGGAAGAAGAAAGTACTTCTGTCCCCCAGAGAAGAATAACAGTTCTGGCCGATGTGGCTCAGTTTTGAGCATTGTTCCGTTATTCCCGTGCACCAAGAGGTCACGGTTAGATTCCTGCATTGCTCTTTGTGAGGCCCCATCCCTGTAGGGGGCTTGCAGGAGGCAGCCATCAATGTCTCTCTCTCGTTCTCGCTCTTGCTCTCTCCCCCTTTAGCCCTCTCTCTAAAATCAATAAAAACAGTTGTGGCCAGTATTTGTCAGTGGTTAGTGCTTGGCCCACACATTTAAGGATCCAGGTTTAATTCTTAGTCAAGGGCAGGGTACCTGGGTTGCCAGAGGCAACTGGTGTATCTCTATCGTCAATGTGTCTCTTATCACATCAATGTTTCTCTCCCTCCCTCCCTCCCTCCCTCCCTCCCTCCCTCTCTTTCTTTCTCTCTCTCCCTCTCTCTCTCCCTCTCTCTCCCTGCCTCACTCTCTCTAAAAGTCAATAGACAAAATATCTTCAGATGAAAACTGACAAATAAATAAAAACGTATTTTTTAAAAAGAATAAAATAGGAAATACAACAGCCATTGTGGCTTCCAAGTTAAAAAACAAGTATGAAATGCTACAGTTATATCTCACTTTTTTCTATAGGGCTAGGGGCTTCCATGAGCGAACCCAAATAGAGACAGAGATGATCTTTGTGAGAACGCTGTAGGGCAAAGGGCATCTCATAGCCGTGTATATTTAGGATGAGAAGGAGTATAGATCGAATTAAGGCAGACCTCCTGCTCTAACCAGAATCCTGCTTGCTTTTCTCTGTTCCTCATCTGAGCCCTAACGCACCTTAAACGAAAGGGAAGATGTCCAGCGATGTGACATTCTGAAGTGCAGACGCTGTTATGCCCCGTGGAACTCTGTGGGTTTGGAAGGAGACTTTGTTATCCTTTCTCATGTAATCCCCTCTTGACCTGTAGGGCTGAGGAGAACAGACTGCTTTATAGTTCTGAACTCCTCCCAGCCTCACCTTTCTGATGGACCCTCTGAGTCTCTCTCTAGTCAAATGTTGAGCCATGCAGTGGAGTTGAATCACGCCCACTACTATTGATTCCTGGAAGCTGCCTCTTGAGTAGCTTTGGGTTGTGTGAATCAGCAGTGTTGCTTTTATGTTGTTGCTACGTTTGTGATAAGAGAAAATTCTGGTCTAATCCTAAAAGCCAGTGGTTCCCCCAAAGCAGGCCATCCCCAGTTTGTGACTGCCCACATGTGCTGAACTCAGACTTGGCAGTTGGAATAATTACCCTCTCGAAGCATCTTTTTTTTATATCAAATGAGACCATTGAGTTGTGCCTCGTCCCAGCAATTTTAAGTGAAGATGGATTATTTCATTTTTCCTTTGGGTATCTGAAGAATGACTCATGTAATTCTGATGCTCTTCCACCTGCTAACATTTTTACCCATCATACTGCAGCATTTACTCTGAGACTGGCACTGCAGAAGCCCTCTTTTCATTATTCTTTCAGATTGTGTCCTGTTACCAACATTTGTCACTTCTGTGATGACAAGCTTAAGGAATCCTCCAGTAGGCCAAGGGTGCTGTCGGGGAGAGTTTATTAACAGGAAGCACCAGGACAAGGTGCTGTTAGGAAACAGATACCACTAGGAAGCAGTACATCTCGGCTTCCCAAGTAGGACTTAAGTAAAAATCCTGCTAGCAGATGACTCTGCGAAGAGCAATTTGGATATTCAGACTTTTCAGCATCTTCTCAGATGGACCTAGAGGGGACGGAGGACCATTACTAGTATGTGTGGAACTTGGTGGAGTACAATACCCAGTGAGGGATGGCTGGGCACGTGCAGATATGAGAGCAGTATCCTGTAGGACATGGTTTTCAAGGAAAGATAATGGCCCGTGCATAGCAGAAGTTTAAATTCCAGGTCGCTGGGACAGAGCTGACAGAGACTTTGCACCCTGAAGACTTCCGCTTTTTTTCTGGACCCTACCCCATCCCAACTCTAAAGGACTACTCAGGCACTGGCATTGCTCCATTTCATTTATGTTTTCCCTTTTTCAGCTGTAGCAAATGAGACTTTTATCTCTTAGGATGGAGTTTCCTGGTTGGTTCAATTTAAAGATTTTCACAGGTGCCTTTCTTTTCATTGAGATGCAGATGGAATTACCTTTGGCTGGGAAAGGCCTCTGGATGAGCTCCTTCCTTTATTATTTTTTTTTAACACAGTTATTTCTTCCTTCTCCCTTTCTCACACGCCTTAATATAAGAAGTCATACGGTGTTTAAATTGCCATTGGCTTCGCCTCACTCTCCAGGACCACACGTGTGCTCACACAGGCCTGGAGGGCTCTTCGAGTGACATTCACCTTCCCAACCGTGCTGTCCACTCTTCCTCATCCTCAGGGAGCCAGATCTTGTTCTTTTCTCTTCCTCCCTGTTTCAGCAAACTATGAAAAATAAGACTTATACTCGCACTTGGCCATTCAGAAGTACTCTTCTGTCTGAGATCTTATGACAGATTCATGCAGCTATCTTTCATTCCTGAAAGCTAGGTGAGGGGGGGGGGGGGGCAAAACTGTTAACTGAAGTTCTTGGTTAATCAACGAAATTAATGGCAGTCATCTGCTTCAACTATTGTCTCATTAGCCTGTTACCAGAGCTGCTAAAAAAGTATCAGCATTTTTTCTCCAGTGGCTGACACTTTTTCTAAAGTTGCCACAAGAAAAAAGGGGGCATAGCATTTGTTTGCGGGTTGTTTAATTAGTTAGGGTCATGTCTGTACTCATTTTAAAAATATTTTGTTTGTTTTTCTGTTGTTGTTAATCCTCACTGGAGGCTATTTTTCCATTGATTTTTTTTTTTTAAATATATTTTATTGAGTTTTTACGGAGAGGAAGAGAGAGGGATAGAAAGCTAGAAACAGCCGGGACCGGTTTGGCTCAATGGATAGAGCATCGGCTTGGGGACTGAAGGGTCCCAGGTTCGATTCCGGTCAAGAGCATGTACCTTGGTTGCGGGCATATCCCCAGTAGGGGGTGTGCAAGAGGCAGCTGATCGATGACTCTCTCTCATCGATATTTCTAACTCTCTATCTCTCTCCCTTCCTCTCTGTAAAAAATCAATAAAATATATTTAAAAAAAAAAAAAAAAAGAAAGAAAGAAAGCTAGAAACATCAATGAGAGAGAAACATCGATCAGCTCCTACTGGGGATGTGCCCGCAACCAAGACACATGCCCTTGACCGGAATCGAACCCTGGACCTTTCAGTCCGCAGGCCAATGCTCTATCCACAGAGCCAAACCGGTTTCGGCCCATTGATTTTTTGAATAGAATGGAGGGGGGGCTGGGGGGGGAGAGGGACATCAATTGGTTGCCTCCTACACCTGCCCTAACTGGGGCAAGGATTGAGCCTGCAACCAAGGTACCATCAGAATTGAACCTGGGACCCTTCAGTCCACAGGCCGACACTCTATCCACTGAACCATTGTCATGATAAATCTTACAGGGGCAAGTAAATTGGCATCATTACCAATATCTAAAGGTGTGCTGTTCAATATGGTAGCTACTTATGTGTAGTTAAATAGCCACCTGTAGCTAGCTAGTGGGCACTGTAAAGGAGACAGAACATCTTCCTTGCAGAAAGTTCTGTTGGATAGCACTGAACTAAAGGCCGTAGCACAAACACTGCCGCCTCCTGGCAAGTTGTGCCCCTTCTGCACAGGACAGGACAGCAGACACGCTTCATGAGCTTTGCTTCCCCATCACCCCAGGTCAT